TCCTGATACGTGTAGGGTCGTCAGGAGACCCACAGGGACCCATAGAGACCCATAGGTCCCTCACAAAGTCACATAGAGACCCCCAGATCCTTGGTTGAGACCCACGGAGACCCCTAGATCCCCCACAGAGACCCACAGAGACCCATAGATCCCCCACAAGGACCCATAGATCCCTCACGGGGACCCATTGAGACCCTTAGATCCCCTATAGTGACCCACAGAGACCCCTAGATCCCCCATAGAGACCCCTAGATCCCCCGCAGAGACCCATAGATCCCTTACGGGAACCCATAGAGACCCATAGGTCCCTCACAAAGACACGTTGAGACCCACGGAAACCCCTAGATCCCCCACAAGGACCCATAGAGACCCCTAGATCCTCCCACAGAGACCCCTAGCTCCCCTACAGAGACCCATAGAGACCCCTAGATCCCCCACAAGGACCCCTAGATCCCCCACAAGGACCCACTAAAGCCCCTAGATCCCCTGTAGAGACCCAGAGAGACCCCTAGATCCCCTACAGAGACCCATAGATCCCTCACGGAGACCCATAGGTCCCTCACAAAGACACATAGAGACCCCCAGATTCTTGGTTGACACCCACGGAGACCCCTAGATCCCCCGCAGAGACCCTTAGAGACCCCTAGATCCCCCGCAGAGACCCATAGATCCCTCACGGGGACCCATAGAGACCCATAGGTCCCTCACGGGGACACATAGAGACCCCCAGATCCTTGGTTGAGACCCACGGAGACCCCTAGATCCCCCACAAGGACCCATAGAGACCCCTAGCTCCCCTACAGAGACCGACAGAGACCCCTAGATCCCCCACAGAGACCCATAGAGACCCCTAGATCCCCTACAGAGACCCGTAGATCCCTCATGGGGACACATAGAGACCCATAGGTCCCTCACAAAGACACATAGAGACCCTCAGATCCTTGGTTGAGACCCACGGAGACCCCTAGATCCCCCACAAGGACCCCCAGAGACCCCTAGATCCTCCCACAGAGACCCATAGAGACCCCTAGATCCTCCCACAGAGACCCATAGAGACCCCTAGATCCCCCACAAGGACCCACAGGGACCCATAGATCCCTTACGGGAACCCATAGAGACCCATAGCTCCCTCTCAAAGACACGTAGAGACCCCCAGATCCTTGGTTGAGACCCACGGAGACCCCTCAATCCCCCACAAGGACCCATAGAGACCCATAGATCCCCCACAGAGACCCCTAGCTCCCCTACAGAGACCATAGATCCCTCACGGAGACCCATAGAGAGCCATAGGTCCCTCACAAAGTCACATAGAGACCCCCAGATCCTTGGTTGAGACCCACTGAAACCCCTAAATCCCCCACAAGGACCCACAGAGACCCGTAGATCCCCCACAAGGACCCACTGAAGCCCCTAGATCCCCTGTAGAGACCCATAGTGACCCCTAGATCCCCTACAGGAACGCTAACTCCCCTGTAGAGACCCTTAGGTCCCTTGCCAAGACACGTAGGGACCCATAGAGACCTATAGATCCCCCACAGGGACCTATAGAGACCCCCAGATCCCTGGTTGAGACCCATAGGAGCCAGGCTGCTCTGAGAACCCATAGGGTGCCATAGGGATCCATAGGGTGCTCAGAGAACCCATAGGGTGCCATAGGGACCCATAGGGTGCTCAGAGAACCCATAGGGTGCCATAGGGGCCCATAGGGTGCTCAGAGAACCCGTAGGGTGCCATAGGGGCCCATAGGGTGCTCAGAGAACCCATAGGGTGCCATAGGGGCCCATAGGATGCTCAGAGAACCCATAGGGTGCTATAGGGGCCTATAGGGTGCTCAGAGAACCCATAGGGTGCCATAGGGACCCATAGGGTGCCATTAGGGGCCTATAGGGTGCTCAGAGAACCCATAGGGTGCCATAGGGTGCCATAGGGGCCCATAGGGTGCCATAGGGTGCTCAGAGAACCCATAG